TCACATTACCCCGAGGATGGTTTTAGTGGGGAAGGACCTTTTTTGCACATGAAATATGTGCTATTGTATTTTATGATATGCTATGTACCAATTTTATTGTTTATTTTTTTTTGTTTTTTTCGTGCAATTTGAAATTGGTTTGGATTAGGCCTACCTTGTGCTCACTAAAGCATTGTAACTGAACCACATGGTTTATATAGAATTTTTGGTGTTAATAAATCATTTGTTTATAGTGAACTCCTTTAAAGTGAGGGAGTACTGTTGTATTCAGTATTTTACTTCCTGCCATTTGAATAACTTGTTTGCCCCCGTGCTTCTGTGTTATCCTCGTTCAATGGAAATTTTGCTTAACGTTAGATTTTCTGGAACACAACCCCATCGTTAAATGAGGGAAATGCGGGATACCTGTATATGAACTCTAGTAGGCCTTATTTATATAACGAGTGATGTTTAATCTTTAATATGGTGTGCAAAAAATTGGATGCAATTACAGTAGTAATGCAATAAACCCATCAGAAGCAGTTTAGTTTTCAAAGTTTCCCAGTTTAAAAACTGCTTTAATTGTCTTGAAACAGCCAAATTTTGTCTTAAGTACTTGCTTTCACATCATTCTATATAATGTATTAATGATGTACATCAAGTATTAATTGTAAAATCTTTCCCATGAGTGGGCTGTCTGATGAACTTACCTCTTATATTCTAAACCAAACATATACAGTACTGGCATAGTTGATTTGACACCATTAAATGTCTAGTTGATTATTATGTTAGAAAATTAATAAAAAATTTTGTTTACTACTAAACATTTCTTGCATCGGTATATTTGTAGCAATTTGTAGTATGTACACAGTTCATTCAAAGGACAAAGCTGCGTATGATTAACATTGTTGTGGTTTATGAATTCCCACTTCCCTTTACTTTTTAAATTCATGGGTTTAGTGTATTTACCTCTGACTACTACATTCCTGTGATTTTCCATTTACTTGTTGCACAAGTACTTAAAATTGATATTCAAAGATATGTCAGTTAATGTACAGTATTTCTTTTTCAGTGATTAAAGAAATTTAGCTATTTGCTATGTGCATTACATATAATTCTTGAGCGAAGAAAATAGTAAAGGCTTTTAATGTCAATTATGGGGATTAGGGTAATACTGATTGTAATGACAAAAATAGACATAGGTTGGTGTGAAACCCTCCCTGTTGTTAGTATCCTTATATTACTCTGTCTAGTGTAACAGCTCAGAAGTAGAACAGCAACAGATTGCTAGTAATTAGATGTGCTATTTCTGGAAGTTGCCAACAAGTAACAATATAACAATAGCTCATTTAATTACTATCAATGTATCCATTCCAAATGACCTTAATATTAATCTAGATACCTGTTTACATATTGTTGCTGACAAAAATGTAGAGAGTAGGTATTTGGATAGTATTCAACTGAGCTAACAGTTGCTGTGTTATTTCATAATGAGTGGATTCCTCTTCTCTGGAGTGAGGTAACCATTAGTCCAGGGACTTAAACACAACCAAATGACCCATTTTTTGCCTGCCATAGTGAATAATTGCCATGCAAATTCTGTCCACCTGTGTGATTCAACCTACCTCCTCCAGTAGTGAATTAATGATGTTCCAGTAATGCCATGGTTTCCGCATCAATATACAGAACTGTAGGTTGAACATATTTTTGGTATACTGTAGTGTATTGTGTATAGTTTACCCAGTATACTGTATAGTGGAAGCTGAGGTGGGGCAAGATAATGATGAGGAATATTGCTATATTTGGTTTTTCAGTTTAAGCCATGTAAAATTTAAACTTGTACAGTATTCTAATTTTCTGTAACACTGTTATGTGCAGACTTAAGTGTTATCTAATGGATCAGTAAGATCTTACTTGGCATGAATTACCCTTAAATTTATCTAAGAACAACATTAAGTGCTAAGTTGAGGGATGGTACATGGCAACAAAATGAAAGGTGAAGAATGAGTCCCAGCTTATGGCAACCTTAAAATGAATGGTGAGGAACTTTAGTCATGGCAGCCTTAAAATGAACGGTAAGGGAAAAGTCATGTTAACATTACCCTGAAAGATGAGGAACAGTACAGTACTTGAAGTGTTTAAGGAGCTCCCTTGACCTGAACTCTTAACTATTGAAAACACCGTAACTTAGATTATTTATCAATTATATTTAAGAATTCACTTTTGTATACAATCTGACTTGTTGCACAAGTAAAAAAAAAATATTATTTTTTAAATTGTGGGATGTTAGTTGGCTTCTGAATCTATAAATTTGAGAAAACTGAAATGTGATGAAGTGTATACATGTGTAATATTCACTGTGGCCTTGTGTGTATCTTCTGTTTAGTGTTATAGTAATTTATTGGCCAAAAGGTGACACTTAAAAGTGTACAAGAGAAAATCAGAGTAGAGACCCAGTCAGTTGGCTTAACTGTCAATATTGTAGCTTTGTGGATTGCGGTTAATGAAAGATCTGACTCCCTTCTGTTGATTTCATATCCTTTTAAAATAAGTTGGTGAACTTGGGTTTCACCTTTTTCATACTAATTCTTCAAGTGATGGGCCTCAAAAAAATGTTGGATGAAATCATAAAATCATCCACAACTATCCCCTGCTAGAGCCTGTCATGGTCACAGGGCTTAACTATCAAGTGGATCAGCAATAAATCTGTTAGCCGGAATCTTTCGACCCTGGAAGTCTCTGACAGCCGGAATTGAAATTTTCTTGGAAAATTGTTTCCGAGCTGGAATTTTCTGGAAAATTCTGGCTTTAGGAAAATTTTTCCAAGGGACACATTTTCCAGAAAATTTATAAAATTTCCCAATACCCTGAAAATTCCAGGGGGAAAGAGGGGGAAGGTTTTTTTCCCGGGTCTGAGAGATGAAAATCAGGCTCATTTTCCGGAAATTACGAGAAATTTTCCTGTATGGTTCCCGGAAAAGTCCATGAATGGGGGATATTTTTCCAGGTTCGAGAGAGGATGTAATAGGCAATTTCTGAAACTTCAGAGAAAATTTTTCCGTTACACGGAAAATTCCAGGGATGAGGGATTTTTCCAGCTTTGAGAGTCGTCTCGTTACCCGCAAATCTCCCATTCCTGGAAGTTCTCTGCACCAAATGCTCCGGCTATTGGAAATAACACTGTAGTTGTGAAAAATATCGTGATGCCCAAATCAAAGCAGTGATCACGTGAGCTCGCAAAAGTAAAAGATTCAGCAGGCAGAGGATGGGAAACCGGTTATGCTTTTCCACTTTGCTATAAAATAGGTCTACAACCCTCAATTTACCAGAAGCTGGCAGGACAAGGATAGGGGTCAGAACCTAACCACTGTAACCCAACTGGAAAATAATACAGGATAACTGGTGCAATGTATAAAGCGATGGTCACATTAGAATCTTCCATGCAATAAATCCAAGATAGCATTTCACCTACAGGCATAAGTCAACGGTACCATCCACACACTGGTGAAAGGAACCATTGGCCAAGCACCCAGCTAGTTTGAGCTCAATTGGAGAGCAGGATGGCTTCATTATATGTTTCTATGTCAGCATTAACAGCTTTAGTGAGATGTGTGGTCCTGTTAAAGAAGACCAAGACGAAAAAGAAACAATTATAGCATCCAGGTGATGTTTGTTTACAAAAGTGACACAAGTACTCTAGAGTCAAATGAAATTCCTGTCGTGATGTATAATTATCAATTTTTATTTACTATGATGTTTTTGCTCGTGTTTTGATACTGAAATACAATTTTTATATTTTTGTACATAAATAAGAAAAAATAAGAATGTTGTAAATTTTATGAATACAATAGACTCTTTTAGCAAATGTCAACCCACCGTACCGTGGATTTTGAGATGCTCCGCATCGTCCCACCTTCGACAACAAATAACTTGTCGCTGTAGACACAATTTGAGGAGTTTGTTGAAAAATCAACACTATGGTGGATTTATTCTGGGTAGAAACTCTAGTGTGACTGTAGCTTAACCCTCTCATGCATGATGATGCGATTCATGATAAGACCAACTTCACGGTGACAAATCGAGTCACCAAACTTTAAAAAAAATCTGCAAAAATTAAGTTTTCAACAGAATTGCATCAAATTTTGATGCATCATAGTAGCAAGTAAGTTCTATCAAATGAACTAATTGGCAACTTTTGAGGCCCATAGGAAGGGAAGACCTGAATGACAAATGCGCAGTATTATCTCAGCAGTCGGACGTTGAGTGTGAGCCGTGTCCATTTAAATTTCCATAACTCCATGTGGACTGTCTCATAGCCTGGATTACAGTGCTTACCCTACTCCATGTAACTATTTTTTTTAGTGTTAGAGAAGCGAAGTGATGGTTGTGTAATATAATATTTTTTTCATATTTACAGAGAAACTTTAGTTTTCAAAAGCCATTACCGTATCAAGCTATACAATAACAATGTTTCAAAAAAAAAAGTCTGAAAGGGGATGAATTTTATCAGTACCATTTTCTTCCTTAGTGTTGGCTTCAAGATGCAATACAGTAAGATCTTGTATTTCGCGAGTAATATAGACTGGAAAAATTGCGCCAAATTCAAATTCGCCAAATGCAAATAAATAAACTAATGGGAAAAATAACAATATACATCACTCTACATCAACCTCTGCTATTCTCATTTATAACCTCGAAGTGACACAAATTCTGCCTTTATTGACTTGATTGTGCTTTCCGGAAACTAGTTTTTAGGCCTTCCTCAAGTAATTTAATCACACGCTGCTTATCCTGCATTGGATACTTGGCAAACTTAACTCCCTCATGATAGTCCCACTTCTCCTTTTCCTTATTCGGCCACTTAGGTGGGTCTGTCCCACCAGCACCAGTAGGACCCTCAGTAGAGGTAGAGGCCATTATCTTGACTCGACAGGTGGTAACACTACCCAAAAAAGCACACAATAACAGCCCGGGCGGTCGTCAGGATGGCGCGGGCTACAACAAAGTAGTTGCGTTCTTGTAAACCTCTTTTACGTTCACCACCGGCAATTCGATCACCAGAACGCTTCTTGGAAACATTCTTCTTACCTTGTCTTTCCATATTCATCACTAACACAACAGAATTGGAGAAAATAGCGAAAATCACGGAGTAATTGACAGAAGCCACGCATTTCAACTGATCATGTGATGTAAACAGAAAGCGCTGGTGCAAACTGTTGTTAGTCGTCACTGCGAAACATTCTTTTTACTTATTATTTTCATACAGTATTTATGGGTAACAGCTAAATTTGCAAAAAAAAATAAATTTATAGAGTACCTCTCAAAAAACACTTCACAAACAAAAGACACTAATCGATTGAACATGTGATGGTGAACGTGAACTGTAAACATTGCATAACCCTGTGCCACGCTTAAAACGTTGAGGATGGAATCGTGCTATAGCCAACATTCATATGCAAAGGTTCGCGTTTTACAAACAGCGTTTCCCTATTCATCAATCGCGTTGCAACCAATTCGCGTTGACAAAACACGTGTTGAAGCAGAAATGACTGTAACTGGGATGAGGGGTGTGATGTCATTCAAGACGGTGGCCAGCATTCAGCTGGCTGTATCTCGCGAAATTCACAATATTTTACGCCAAATATAAGACTTGGTTACATTAGGTAGTGCTCGCGAAATTAAAAAATGAGAAATATAAGCTTCTAGCAGTTGGCTCAGACAATTTTGAGCGAGGAAGTTGTGAATGTATTGGTGTGTATTTTTTCTCATGTTTATTAGAAGCGAGAAAAAATAATTATATACAGTACTTGTATTATTTTTTTTTGGGGGGGGGGATTATGTTGCAGAGCAATCAGTTACAAAGCCAAAGAAAGATATATGGTTTATGCCATTAAAAACAAATTCACGGTGAGCTGTCTCGCCCGCCCTGGGGGCCTCAGGGATGTGATCTTGGAACTGGAAAACTTAAAACTTATTTCGTGTGCGAGAGGGTTAAGGGCAACAACGTAAAGACAAATTCACTCACCCCTAAATCTCTTATCACACAGCTTAAGTCATTTTATACATTTTTGAAACCCATTTCAAGGTTCTGCATACAATCGTTTCATTCCAACAACTTCATAACTGTTCGTCTTTACTCATCTGTTTCTTGTACTGTATTTGAACCTCCAAACTATCAAATTTTATTTGCATTTGAAACTAAACCCCTTGACTACTGGATGTCAGTTTGACCTTTCTATTTGGTTAATGCCAGATGATTTTATTGAGCACAGAATATTCCCTTGTACCCAAGGGGTTAAAAATCTTCACTTATGTAAAAGTTACACATACTGTATACAGTGATCCCTCGGTTAACGAGTGCCTCGGTTAACGAGATTTCGATTAACGAATTACCTTCCATAAGATTCTTAACTTCGGTTAACGAGCAATCCTTCGATTAACGAGTTTTTAACGAGCGCCCCTCATGTTTTCGCGTGCATTTGGCGGTCCACCAGCTGTAGTATTAGTCCGCCAATACAGTAATCTGTTCTAGGGCTTAAATTCCTTACTATTTTAGCAAATATCAAGAAGTTTGTACTATTCAATAATTTTAAAAGTTTTATATAAAATTTGTTAGTCATTTTAACAATTATTGAACATAATTGAAGTATAGGAAGCTAGTTTTTTGCGCGCCAAACAGCCTGCCAACACACCATACATCTTGCTTGAGACGCTCTTCAACTAAATGCTTTTTTCTGTTTCCAAGCAAATTATTGGTCAATTTGAAATTTATTTTACATATTGACAATATATAATGCAGTGCAGTGTTGATTTAAAGAAAATAATCTTGAATTACACCAAGAAAACTAAAATTTTGTGGGTGAAATGGCGCCATGGGGTGACTTCTCTTCCACCCCAATGCCTTCTCTTCTCCCTTCTCCTCAACCCCCATTCTAATTCACATCATCATCATCATCCAGGAGCCTTCTACATACACACCTCAAAATAAGTGTACTTTACTACCTTTTTTTGTTGATTTTAGGCAATTTTCGGTGAGCTGGAATCAATTACCCAAAAACCCATTGAAACAATGGTTTCGGTTAACGAGCAACCTTCTGGAGCGAATTGTGCTCGTTAACCGAGGGACCACTGTAATGAACTCTTTGGATCCTCAAAATTATCAATTAATTTACCCACACTTTTTCACATATTGCCCGAGTCAATCAAGGCGCATCATATTTTAAATTTCAAGCCTAATGTTTCCCACCAGACGCGTCTCTGGACACGCTACATGGCTGCCCGCCACCTTAAATTTCGCACCTAATGTTTCCCACCAAACGCGTCTCTGAACACACTACACGGCTGCCCGCCACCCTCCCACACCCCCATACACCCTCAGTTCTCACGCTGACGCTCTAGTGAACGGACATACTGTGTGAGACTATCTCTTCCCACGTGTATCAACCATCACCATTATGTCCAAGAGGCCAGCTACTACATCATTAACTACTCCACAGGCCAAGAAATCAAGACAAACAATTA